CCAATATGCATGCTAAAAAGATTGGCAAAGTATCCATCAAATCAATCCATTCCTCCCGTTGCTGGGAATGAATATGAATGTGAAATGTTCAGATAAATTGAAAATTACTAGGCAACATTAACTGGTTTTGCCATTACAACTTTTGAATTAATTATATGAATCTGAGTCATTGCTGATTCAGAATGTGCGTAATTTATATGGGAGAAACAATATTTGTATGCATTTGTAACAATAGTGGTCCTTAAAATTTTGCAGCTTAGGACATTGCAACAAATGCCATGTCCGTCTTTTCATACTGGCTGGAGGCTGTTAGGGTCTGGATAGGGAACAACAGGCTTCAAATAAAACCTGGCAAGACTGTGTGGCTCTGGATTTTGAGGCCAGCTGGTTCTAGGATCATGCTATCTTTGGTGTTTTATGAGAATACACTGGCCCAAACAGATCCAGTATGCAATCTGGGGATCCTCCTAATCTCACAACTCCTGCTTGATGAGCAGGTGGCAGTCGTTGCTAGGAGGACCTTTTCACAGCTCTATCTTAGGCACCAGTGATCTTCTTTCCTGAATCAGCAGACCCAGCTTACACTCACTCATACCCTATTGACCTCCAGATTGGACTACAGTAATGCCCTGTACCTGGGACTGCCCTTGAACAGTATCTGGAAGCTTTGGCTGGTATGGAATGCAGTATCACGGCCAGTTAGGCGTGCTCCCTAGAACAGCACAAGTTACCCCTCTGTTCCATGAGCTGTGTTAGTTGCCAGTTTATTTCTGGATCCAATTTAAATTGTTGGATTGAACATGAAAAGTCCTTCATGGCATGGGACTGGGCTGTCTGAGAGACTGTCTCTTCCCAGTTATTTTAGATTAGATTGGGCAGAGAAGGCATGTTCTCTTCACCTAGGGCAGGAGTAGGCAACCTTGGCTCTTTTATGACTCGTGGACTTCAATTCCCAGAATTCCTGACCCAGTCATAAAAGAGCCAAGGTTGCCTGCCCCTGACCTAGGGCTTTGTATATATATATTTTAATGCTATTTATTTCTTAAAGTGGATTTCAATATTTTTTTTATATCAGTTATATTTGCGGTTTTATCTGATTGTGTGCTACCATTGGCAACTATACAAATTTGATTAATAAATAAGTAGATTAATAAATATGAAACATGGAAAGCTACACCAGTTAATACATGGTACTGTATAAATAAAGGATTTTTCTGGCTACAGCTGACAGTGTCATTTTTGTTGTTATAGCAACACGATATGCTAACAATTTTACCTCTTCTTTGATGTGGAGCATAGCACAGAATAAGGACAAGTGTAACCATCAATTTGGGTACCCAATTCTGGTCACCTCTTAAGAAATGGATGTAGCTTAATAAGCTTGTTCACTTGTTCCATTGAGCAGCCCCAAAATGAACATCTGTGGAGAAGGATGCTTTGTGAAATGAGATAGGATGAGATATAAAAGCTAGGTGAATATCAAGCATTCTTTCTTTGAGGAATAGAGGTTGTTCTCTGAATACAGATAGATCCTGACTCATTATTCTTCCCAATTTTGGATGTGCTCTTGTATTTACAGCTAAATTATTTTCACCTTACCCGAGGTCACCTTCTCATCCAGGATTCCAGCCAACTTTCTCATTCAGCAGAACTCCAAAGCTCTTCTTAGCCCAAAACTGACAAATCCTTTTTTCCCCCTTCTACTGACCTTCATGGGGCAGTTGATTCTCTCTAGACCCATCAGATTGCCTTGAGATTTAAAGGGCCAGCTGCTCCCCAGTACAGCTTTTCATTTTTCAAAAGAATTTACATTTCAATGGCATGTGCATTTCATCATTAATTACATTAATTTCCACGCATTAATATAAGAGTTGTAAGTGCGTGAGACACATGTAATTTCCCAAAATTACCTTTTGTATGCTTGAGATACATAATACTTTCATCAGCAGAAAGGCAGGTTTAATAAATAAATAAAAAGGCTGCAGGTGTTTGCTAACACATGCTTTTTATGCTTTTAAATATTAACTGAAAGCTGAATATTTGACAAGCTCTCCTGATAAGCATGGCCTCTGTGGCTTTGAAAAGTCTTACCTGATTAACATGCAGACCCCAGAGGGTAGCATTAAAAAAAACCCCTTGAACTTCATGCTGCTCGCTCTCCGCTTTTCCTGTGGCTCATCCACAGAAAAGACATCTCTTCCTTGAGCCTTTTGCCCTGCATCCCATTCTGATTGGAAATAAACTGGAAGAACTGAAAAACACTTCTGTGCAATTTGTCTCCTGAGATGTAAGTCCAGTTGAACTCAACAGAGCTCCTAAATCAATAGGGTTTTTGACAAACAAACATAGTTCATTGTAGTCTTTGAGAAGTATCACCATTATCAGTGCAAAGGTTGAAATTTGGGAGAACATATAACAAACCTGTTTGGCCTAGTCTCTGATCCAGACTTATCTGAGCTTTAAGATCTTTCTCCTTTTGTCTAACATCAAAGCAGAGGAAATTTATTTATTTATTTATGAGACTTATATACCGCTTTAAGTGCAAGCACTCTTTAAGCGGTGTACACCAGTAAGCAATGTATATATTTACATTGCCCCCAACAATCTGGGTCCTCATTTTACCTACCCCGGAAGGATGGAAGGCTGAGTCAACCTTAAGCCTGTGAGATTTGAACCTCTGACCTGCTGAACACAGTCAGCTAAAGTGGCCTGCAGTACTGCACTCTAACTGCTGCGCCACCTCGGCTCATAAATGGTTGACAGGAACTGAATGAAGATTTTTTTGGTAGTTCTTCTACCCTTTGGACAAGCTGCCAAGGAACATCTGGTGAGCTTTCTAATATCCTTTTGCTGCAGGCAAGAATAATTTTATTTAGCAGTGCTTCATTTCATGTTTCAAAGGTGTCAACATCCGATTCTTGTGCTTTAAAAGATGGGCAAATTTCTCTCACCCTTCACATTAGACAAACTGGTTCCCTCTACATTCAGAGATAAATCTGATTTCTTCTAAACTGGATTCTCTTTCCTCTTCCATGTCTATTTTAAAACAACTTGAGTTGTTATAGAGTTGTTTCAGAATAGACATGGAAGAGGGAAGAAGCTTGAAGATTTAAGTGTGTTCTTTCTAATTTCCCATTCATTTCCAAGATCAATCTACCAGCTTTGAACTACAGTCCTTTTTATGCCTTGAACCTTGGTACCAATGTAATGGCTTCATTTATTCACTTCGTCTATTTGACTACAGAAGTCATTTTCAAAGCCCTTCTCCATGTGCCAGGTCGTTCTTAAGCATGGACTATTTGTGAATTCTTTTTAGCAGTACGTCCTTGCTCATGGAATGTTCTCTGAAGAACTTACTTGAAATTGCTATCTTTTTATCACAAAGTTACGATGTTTTTATTTTTCCAGGAATTTCAAATTTATCTTTGGTTGGCTTTATTTAAAAATAAAAATCTGTATTTCATATGCTTGGTTTTATATAATTGTCTTTAAATGATGGCTTCAAATTTTCATCATGGTTTGGATTTTATGAATTACGGTATTGTGTGTTCCTGCTATATAAGCGTGTAGAGCACATGTTTTACATGCATTGTACAAGACCTTGCAGAAGGAAACAGACTCATCTTGCCAACTTGATGGAAATGCTACATAATGCTAACTATTTTCTGCAGTATTTTCCTGATATCCTACTCAGAATAGTCCCCCAAATTAAATGCAATAACCATGACTTCACTCTGTTTAATGTCCTGATAGTTTTATTCAGATAATTGCAAAAAACATTTAAATTTAAAACTGTTTTATGTTATTATCCACTAAGTCAACTTCCAAGAGGTGTACTGTAGTAACAAAAGTTAAACTCATATTTTACATTATGTATTCAAGGATAGCCAGTTATATTTTTTATACATAAAGAAATACATCTATGGCATGGAATTGAAACTAAAATCTACATTGTTTAGTATAAAGATATAGCATTTTTAAAATGGAAATAATCCACAAGTGAGGCACTTTCTGAGAACAGTAGTGAAAAACAAATGGCATTAACCAAAATAAAATCACATTTCCCCCTCATTAAAAGGGGGAAAACTTTATATATAGGTTACATTGCAGCTCCCAATATAAAGTTTCTCCACTAGATCTTTTTCTATTCTCAAAACTAATGACAACTATTGAAATTAAGGATATTTGGGGCAAAATGCCATTTAATGCTATTTAAGTGGCACTTAATCACTGCACTAAAATGCATATGGACATTTTAACCACAGACTTGTAGTCATCACAGCAGAAGTGAAATTTGTGAATTGTAATTTTATGTAGAATAAATTAATAGAAACAATACGCATTACTCAAATGAGAGTTAAAATTTTCTTCTGCAAAGGCAGAATATGACCTACAGTAATTTAGAAGGAACAAAATATGTGAACCATCTCAACGTACACATCTTCTGAAATAGCTACCGTGGATGAAGATGGTTAAGAATGGTTCCATCCTTGTGTTTTAAGGTTAGCTTTCTCCAAGTTCAACCTGTGTCTCCAAATAGTCTTTGTAAGATACTGGATTGGGGAAGGATATTGTTGTTTTTAACCTTATATTCCAGCTGCCAACCTTACAGAAACATTGATTCAGATGTTATATCTTTACAGGCTGGCCTTGTATGAAAATTCATCATTGGATTTAAAGGAGAAATACGACAAACTTTCTGTGACCCCCTCCAAGAAACATGCCAAGAAAATAAATGTTCTGAGCTACTTATTTTTAAATGATACAAGAGAGTCTGGGTATTCATAGCTATTATTTGGGGACATTCTTCAAGAAAGTGTTCAGGCTTCCTAGTCTCTTCCCAAACTCTCCTCAATCAACAATGATCAGGTTTTGGGGGAAATGAGAATAAGGTCAATTAAAGAATATTTTAATCTCAGAGATTAATGTTCCAGAGAAAAACAATCTTAACTTTTTAAGGCTAGTCTATAACTATTTTTCTTGGAGCACATGTATGTGTGCATGAAAACATTAAAAAAAGTATTAATACTTGATTAATTTGCAATTGTAAACTTAATTATTACCCTTCCAAGAATGACATTTACCATTGAATTAGAAAGTATGAAATTGCAAATGCTAAATAGGAGGAATTGATCTCCACTGTAGAATCAAATGCCAGAAAATACCTTCTATAGATAGTCTAGTTTGTGAATGGGTACATTAGACATAGACATAAGGCTTGTCTATTTCATTTCTCTAGAACCCCCAAGGTCTTCCAAGCAAGCCAGCTGCAGCTTGCAAGCAAACTGTATGACTCATAAAGTTACTGTTTCGCTCTCTCCCACCTTCTTGCAGTTTCTTTCTTTCAATATCCTAATTTAGCAGGAAGAGAGAATTTTGTCACGACTGCTGAACTGTTTGAAACCAGAAATTCTTGCTGATCTGCTGCATATTTATGAGCAGATACTGGTATCATTTTACCTACCTGGTGGAAGATTATGCTAAATTAATGCTAGGACTTGTCAGAGTTTCTAAACCATGTCTGTCCAGCAGGTGGTGCCCAAGTAAAAGAGCTGTTTTCATGTAAAATAACCCCGGAAGAACTTTTCCAGGCCTAAAAATATCATTCAGCTATTTATCAAAACAAGCATCAGTATCAATTAAAAAGTGTTTGAACTGATGTTTTATAAAGTACAGCTTTTCATCATACTTTTCTGGACAAAGTAGGGTGAAAATATATAAAAAAACCATGAACAAGAAATGCATCCAACGTATAAACATTCACTGAAATGTATGATTAAACACTATTAAATAAACCTCATTAAATAATAGGAATCACTAGACTGTTAAAAATCTAATGGTTATTCTAAGAAGGAACTTTGCTTCAGTCCTATATTAAATTCCAAACATGTCCAGTTTTCAAAAAACAATATATATATTGGACCAATTTGTTACCTCGGATGATTTCAATGGGGGAAAAGAACCTAAAATCCTATAGTATTGTGTTCGTATTTAAATGCCTTTCCCAAGAACACAATTTATTCAATAATAAAGGATAATACTTGTTTACCAGAAAAGTGTTTAAGTGCACAATGAAATGAATGAAGGTGAATATATATGTCTTAGGATAATGTCCTCTGGTCCCGGTGACCAATCCAGATTGGATCCTGCAACACACTGAAATGCATGTATTCAGAAAAAGTATTAAAACATATAGAAATCCATGTGAAAAGCACTACAGGAACTGATGTATTAAGCTGATTAGGGCTCATCAGACATAGACTTGCTGTTTCTTAAAACATCTAAATATGTATGCGTGTATGTATATATGCACAGAGGTCCAAAGCACTCTTGATCAGCCAGCAAGTTCTTTTTGTGGCCATTTGTTGCCATGCCCCACTTTAATAAAAAACAGGATGCATTAGCCATTGCTATTCACAATTCATGCTGTTCTCATGTCATTAATGAAATAAAAATTAGGGATTTCTCTCTCTCCCTTCTGTCTGGGGAAAAAAATGAACAGTCTGCCTAGGCAACCAAGTTTAGCTGACTATTTGAAGCATGAAAGACATCCTATGCAAGCAGTTTTTAAAGATATAAAATGCAGGAAAGGCAACTTAAGTCACCTTAAATTATTTATTCTAGATAAAAGTACAAAACTAGAAAGAAGCTCTTAACTTCTATACTTATCAATATATTTCTCTTCTTTTCAATATGAAATAATACTTCAAGATGATCTATGTACACAATGTTGTCAGTTCAAGCTGTTGTATAAAATATAAATGCCCCTTTAAAAAGGTATTTCACACAGTGTTATGTACATTTGTTCAGTTTTGATGTCTGGGCTCTGGGAAACGTAGATTGTACAGTGGAAGTGGAACTGTATGATGGAACGTGATCCTAAGAAAACAAAATCAACATGTATATTTTTCTAAAGAAAGACAGATATTAAAAATTGTGAAATTTTAATTTTAATCCAAAAACGTATTAAAGACATATTTTACTCCATTCTCCACACCCTTTAACCTTCTTGAATGAATGACTGCTCCACTGCTTTAAACTTTTATTAATAAAAATCCTCTATGCTTAATTAGGTTATTATGCCATATGATAAGATAACATTTAGGAATTACCAGAAATGGCATTTAGAACACAGAGTCAAATGTTAAGTTAAATATATTCATTAATATGCTACAACTCAAAGACAAAATAAAATCCATTTTCATTCAACAAGAAATTAACTTTTTTTTCCTACCTGGACTACAGTTTGTCATATAGCATAAGTTTAACTTATGGTAGGTCAAATAAAAATAAAATAATGGAAACATATAAAGAAATAACTGGCACCAAGTTGAAACAGAGTCGTAAGTATATATTTTAAACAATTTCAAAGTGGTAATTTTTTCTTCCCAAACATCTGTCATCAACAATTTTAGGAGGAAATCCTAAAAGAAAATCTGCTGGCTGTGAGAAAGGGAGGGGTAAAATCTTACCATTATATTGAAATTAGAGTTATTTATATATAAAAATAAATGTTATGTTCTCATAAGAGCATTAGACAATTATATCTGTGCTTAACAAAACATTGGTCATTCAAGACTACAATAATTAATATTTTAAAGGCTTTCAGATTACCAGAATGTACAGAGGAAAATTAATACAAAAATGTAGTTGAAGGGAAATAAGACTGAAAATATTGATTTCTCTATTTGAATAAAAATATTAAGTATTTAAAACTGAGAAATACTATCACGGAATGTGCCTGGAAAACATGGTCCATAACTGCTGAGCTGGAAAGTGGAAGAAAGATTTAACAATTTGTACCGTATATTTTGTTAAATATAAACATTTGTTATTTGTACATAAAACTGCTTCCCAAAACTATTTATAAGTAATTTAGTTGCACTGAAAATCAATTTATTTTTTTCATATCTGCCAAGATATTAACTTCCTTTAGTTTTCAATCAGCTTTCCCTAGTGCAGTTTTAGTTAAGTTTTCTGCCAAATGCATTATTTCAAAAGAACGTCCCCCATCCCATCACTTATACCACAAAATGTACAGAGTGCTGAAGTATGGACTGCAGTTTATACTTCTTTCCAAGACCAATTGGAAGAAAAGGCTTTCAGATTGCATGAACTCCTTCACCACTTGTCCTATGCGCTTAAAAAGTAGATTAGGCATGGCTTGCATTGGTCAAATGCAACAGTTCTTGACACGTCTTCCACAAGAGGCCTTTCCTACAGGGTGGGTTTTCCCTTCTGCATGCCAAGAGCTTCCATGAATTAGATACTTCCCAGCAATAAACACTTGTCAGCCCATTTTTGCAGTAGACTGCTTCATCCTGCAGCTTTATGTTTTCCTCCACAGCATCCACAGATTTCGCCACAGTGGTGGCACGCTCTTAGCGGGAGGTAGCAGCACATACATGGCGCAATGAACGACAAAGTGACAAGGGCGAGCCAGCGTAAGCAGAACTTGTCGTCACTCGTGTCGCAGGAGCAAGGGTCAGAGAAATCCCCCTCAGAGTCTGACATGCAGTGGTAGAGCATGCTCTCGGCACAAAGCATGCAGCTAACTTGGTATATGCATCTTCTAATCGGGTCTGGAGCATCTTGGCATTTGCCCCGGCTGTTCTCCTCATGGTTAAACCTCTCTTGACAGTATATGCAGCGAGAGCGCTCACCATCCTCTTTCCTTTTTTTGGATTTTTTTAATTTGATAGAAGAAGGCTGTGTTTTGAGTACCACAGAACTCTTACAATCTTTTAGGGAGTTCAGTTTAGGTTCATCTCCAGATGGGTAGAGATAGTCCGATTTTTTATGGTCTGCTTTGGGGCAGTGCAGCGAGGAATCTATTTCATCCCTATCCAAGTCATTTTTCCACATATCAGGATGCCTATAGTCTGCATAGCGACGTATTAGAATATCACGAGGGTTTATCCGAACAATTTCTTCTTCATCCTGAAAAGTGACGCTCCTGACTGATTTCTGGGGTACCTACAAAAGAGGAGAGGACACAGAAGAGAAAAGAGAGGCCTTTAATATTACACATAACCATACTGATGATTGAGTGTGTTACTTCAAACAAGCAAAAGTATCCAGTCACAACACCTTATGTCTCAGGAGAATCTGCACAATTTATTGAATATATCTGTCATATTTAATGTTTATTCAACAGTACAAATAACCAAGCGCTGCAGTGCTGATAATCCTTATATTAAGTTCACATTCTTTCTCATAGAAAACATTTTAAAATAAGGGACATGTCTAAATGTTAAAAATTAACAAGAAAAGGATTATTCTGAAACACATTTTTTTAACGTTCATATGAATTCCTTGAAGGCATCTAAAAATTAGATTGGGATCGCATCAAGCTGCGGATGATATGCAGTTCTAACATTATTTTAAACTGAAGGAAATGGTGGGAACACCCCCCCCCCGTGAATATCTGGAAATAGGAAGAAGGGTGAATAATCTGAAGCTTAATCAAGCCAGTTTCTCTGCAGATAATAATTGACATCTATACCCGATGCATTTGCATTTCCCTTAAAAATCCAAATATGCAACTGGGAAGTATTCCTGGATTTGGCTCTTTTCACTGGAAGAGGAGACATCAATGGCATTTATAGCTTGGACTCCTTGCCAAATGTAGTCTTATTTAATGAATTTAATTGCACTGGTGACAGAAGTTCTGGTTACATCCCAGCTGAATGCACTGTATAGGAGGCTATCCTTTAAAACAGTGCACAAATTTCAACTCTGCATGTGTTTGAGTATATGTATTTCTGTTATAATTATATAGACAACCAATTCATGTCTGGAGCCAATCTGATATTGGTATTGACAATCTGAAAGTAAGCTTATACTACAGCACTCAAGATTCTACTTTCCATTCCATCTGTGAAAGTTATCAAGTTGACTGTTGAGCACAGAGCAACTGTTTCTGTGATAATCCTGGAATGACCTTTCATCCCCCCAAATCCATATGGTTTCTCTTTTGCTTTTTAAGTACTGCTCTGCATTCCAATGATTTTATTATTATATTCAATAATTGTTTTATCTACTGCTGTTATTTTGAGGGTATTAACTGCTTTTCTGTTATATTCTTTTAAACAGGAATGGGAAATCTGTTCAATAAAGAATAGTAAACAAAAAGTAGAGAAAAATTCAGTAACTGTGTGTACACAGAACATTAATTTAAGAAAATTTATGTGACTGCCAATATAAACTCTCAGTGAGTCTGGGCAGCTTACAAAGATAAAAACCTATCATAAAAAAACAATAAAAAGCAATGACCCCCCCCCATCCCCCTGGTGACAACAATCAAAAATTAAATGTACATGTCATTTAGGCATGGCAAGCAAAATCTGATAATAATAAGGGCAGAATCCAGTTTTGCATGAGTGGAAGCTGCATATCAGTATTTCCTTTTCCCCACCCTGTAGGTCCATGGTGGCACACCTGTGGCATGCAGAGCCCTCTCTTTGGGCACGCAAGCCGTCGCCCCAGTCCTAGGCCTTCAGCTGGGTTTTATAAAACCTTTTTGCTTTTGGCCTCCACTGCCGTGTACAAAAATAAAAAGATTTAATCAATCAATTTCAACTCGCAGGGAAAAAAAAGATCTTGCAAAGTTGGAATTGATTGATTGAACTTTTCAGTCCCACCCAATCTGCCTTTACCACCACAGCCATGCCCACCCAACTGGCCACACCCACCAAATGGGCCACACCCACCCAGCACCCGACAATACATAAGTGGGTTTGGGGTTGCAGTTTGGGCACTCGGTCTCTAAAAAGTTTGCCATCACTGCTATAGGTCTTGTACATGTTCAATATCTGAGGGATAAAAACCACCAGTAAAAATCTAATTCAGTGAAAGAAACCATCTAATTTTGCTCAACGTCCACAATTTTGAAGCACACAATTCTCAAACACAAGACGATTCAGAAAGGGTTTTTTTTTTTTTCATTTGATTTCTTCTACATTTGTAGCACTACAATTTCAAACCTCCACTGCCAGATTAGGAAGGCTGAAAGAAAGAATTTAGTCTTAAGTGATTCATGTTGAGCTAAGCCTACAACGTTCCTTGTGAACGTGAACATTAAATCATATTGCAGAGGTAAGGTTTGGTGCAGGTGCAGATATAAAAGTAACCTTGCAGCTCAGGCCTGATTTATTTCAAAATGCTTTTAGAAGGGAAAAAAAAAACCCTTGATTACTTGAAGTACTTGCTTAATAAATACATTAACACTTGTGGTAGGAACTGTAGCCAGGACCGAAGAAGTTGTTCACTTTGCTGGCATCCAATGGAAATCCACAAAACCGAGACAGAAATAGCCTTCTAAAGGATTGGCTGGTGATGACAGAAACATCTTTCACTAAGTAAGTTTGCTATAACTTATTTTATGAGCAAAGATTAAAAAGCAAATAGCCGTCTCCCATCCCTGCCAAAGGCAAAGACAAGATGCTCTATTATAGGGCAGAGCAACCTTATGTTGGAATATTTGAGATTCACGATGACTTACTTGGCTAAAACTAATGAAAACTGCAATTGGTCACTCTTCCCAAATGGTTTAAATCAGGGGTCTTCAAACTTGGCAGCTTTGACTTGTGGACTTCAACTTCCAGAATTCCTCAGCCAGCCCTGAAGTCCACAAGTCTTACAGTTGCCAAGTTTGAAGACCCCTGGTTTAAACTCTCTTTATAATGAGCAAGCTAAATATGGAATTCTTTGGAATCTAATTCAAGTTCCATTCTCAGTTAAAGCAGAGCATGCAAATCAAAAGTTTTGTTACAGATACTGTAGTTCCGAATTTTAATTACAGAGTAGTTCAGTCATTACTTCGGAAAGTGTGCATGGTAACAAAAGGATCATTTGATTCATGGATGGAAATTGGCTTACAATTCTGTTCAGAATCATATAGCCAGCATAAGTTCTTATAAATACAATAGACACTTGTTCAATCTATGGAAGTATGATCGTCACCCAAGAACATAGTTTGTTTAGATTTGAATACACTCAATCAGATAAAACAATGTGCGAGAACTTCCACCATGCTTTGGCATAAGCAGATGCAAGAGAAATGAAACATAGCACCACTATAGAAATATATCCTTATCTTTAAAGACTTATTTCCTCAAGTTTTTTTGTCATTGGAAAAGACTGCTTATCAGCTTAAAACCAAAAGAGGGAGCCAGCGTTGTCGGAGGACACTTCCATGGTCATGTGACCAGCATAATTATATGCAAAAGCACACAAAATGCTGTTTCCTTCCCACCTAAGTGTACCTAAGTATCTAGCATAATTATATGCAAAAGCACACAAAATGCTGTTTCCTTCCCACCTTAGTGTACCTAAGTATCTACTCACATGCATGCTTATGAACTTTTTAGGTGGACAGGAGTTGGGGCAAGTAACGGGAGCTCACCCTGTCATTCAGGTCTTCAACTGGGCTGTCAGCTTTGCAGCTGACAAGCTCAACATCTTTAATCTCTGAGCCACTGCATGTCCCACAGCTTGGGAGGGGGAAGGTGAGGGAAAAAACAATATCTGTCATAGAAAGTGGGTAGAGGAATCTTCAATGCATCAATTAATTATGTAAACCAGAGAAGCGAGTTCAAAGCATCTGCTTCTGCTGTTAAACAAACAACAGTTATTCATTAGGGCCAAATCATTGCGAGAATGATAATTTGTTTAAAAGCAGAAACTTCCAATCTCTTTCCTGACATTTCACATCATTGCAGGGAAACCTCTATTCTATTACGTCTGACCTGGAACAGTGATATTGCTAGATAAAATTCTGGTGGCATTTCAGAGGTATCTTTTGACACATTCAATATACAAGTTGCTTTTCATGGATTACCTGGTTTGGCTGGTTGTGGAAGTACAATCTTCTGGTGTTCAAATCTTCAAAGACCAAGGGTCTTATACATAAGTTTTTGTGAGGATCATTGCTTGCTAGAGATTCATGTTCGAAAATCGGATCTTTCATTAGCAAACTTGATGTATTTTCTGGAATTGCCTGGAAAAATTTATAGATTAAAATACATAGTTAGGGTTTTTTCTCTTCACTTCCCCTATATAAAATTAAGTCCACCACAATGTTGTTTAGAACTTCAGTTAGAGGGTTGCACATGATACTTAAAGTACCCATTTCATACATAATTAAAAATGCACCATACTTTATTAAAATAATGTACATATTATTTTAAATAAATGGAGGTAGCATTTATGCAGCATCAAAATAAAATTGTAATGAATACACTGAAAGTCCTTTGACATTCAAAGGAGTGAAAGAGGAAGCAAAGAAGAAGACAAGTTAATTTGAGGCTATCACTCCTTAAAGGTACATGCTCAGTGGACAAAATCTAGTTTATCAGAGATGCAGGAAAGGAAGCAACCGTTCAGATCTACAAATATCAAGGCCGCACAATATGGATATATGACCATACAGCTTTTCTTATATTTTTTTTTTTTTTATTAAAAGTTTTATAAATTTTACAAAAAAAAAACAAGAACAATACAGAACAAAAAACAACATATACAAAAGAAAAAAGAAATTAAACAATACATATAAAAAAAACCCCCCACCCCACACCCCTCCCAAAAACCCTCCCTTCCCCCCCCCTGAGCTTCCCAGAGCAGAATATAGGCTTAAGAAATAATAATAATAAAAAAAAAAAAAATAAAAATAAAAATTAAATTAAAAACTTTATATTTATATATATAAAAAAGATATCTATAATATATATAAAAATAAAACTTATGAAAAAGCTATATAATATTTTTGTATACCCAATCTAAATTGTATAAATTTTATCCATTTGTCCCAGATAGCAAAAAACTTCTCTTGCGTTTGTTGCTTTAAGAAAGCCGAAATCTTTGCCATTTCTGCCAGATAAGCTACTTTAAAAAACCATTCCTGCAATGTAGGCAAAGATTCCTTCTTCCAATATTGTCCAACTAACAGCCTCGCGGCTGTGATCAAGTTTAACATCAATACAACCTCCTTTGTATCACAATCTGTAACAATACCTAACAAAAATAATTGCGGAGTAAATTTTACCCTCCTTCTAAAAATTCTCTGGATATTCCACCATATTTTGATCCAAAATGCTTTTATCTCTCTACATGACCACCAAATATGATAATAGGAAGCCTCCTTATAACCACATCTCCAACATTTAGGTTGCACGTCAGGGTACATGTAAGACATTTTTTGTGGATCAAGGTGCCATCTATAAAACATTTTATAAAAATTCTCCCTTAGATTCTGTGCTTGAGTAAATTTGACATTTCTCACCCAAATAGTTTCCCAGGTGTCCAATGAAACTGGCTCACCAAAGTTCTGCGCCCATCTAATCATACAATCTTTAATTAGTTCCGTTTCTGAGTCCAATTCAACTAAAACCCCATAAATTCTCTTAATGTGGGTTTGTCTTTGATCCTTCAGTTGCTTAATAAGATTTTCATCTTCTCTAAGAAAACCCACCTTACAATCCATCTTCCATCTATCTAGTAGTTGCCTATATTGGAACCAAGAATAAGTAAAATTTTCTTGTGCTAATTCTTCCCGTGATTTTAATTGCCAGTTTTGTCCATCCCATTTAAGTAACTGTCTGTAAGACACCATATCCATTTTAACCCCTCTTTTTATTCCTTCTATCGCATGCCAAGGTATAGCCCATAATGGTACTTTAAAATCACTTTTATAATATTTTCTCCAAATCCTAAGTAAAGAAATTCTTAAAATATGAGATTTAAAAGCCCAATCTATTTTTTTATTAAATATTAAATAGGCATGCCACCCATAAAGTAAATCCCATCCCTCTAGATAAAGTATCTCAGAATTTGTCAAATTTACCCAGTCACTAATTAATGTTAAAACCACCGCATCATAATATAATTTCAAATTTGGTACCTTGAGTCCGCCCCTCTCACGGAAGTCTTGCATAATTTTGAACTTAACCCTTGGTTTTTTCCCTGCCCAAATAAATTTATTGAGACCCTTCTGCCACTCATTTAAATTAATCTCATTTTTCAAAATTGGTAACATTTGAAACAAAAAAAGAAACTTGGGTAGAATATTTCTAGCTTTTCTTATATTTGTTACATAGAAAACTGCTCTACAACTGAATGAGTATTAATCATTTTTCCAAGCCCTGATTAGCATTATGACTGTTTTGCTTGACAATCAAGAATATCAATCAAGATTTCCTCTTGTTCTAATAGCCAGTAGTGGAGTAGAATGATATAGTTAAGTCTCAATTCTGCAGAACAGAGAGTAGAGATCTAGATATTACTATAAGTAGAACAAACATTTCCATTATAACTATTGTAACTCTATAAGGTTGATAGCTTTAGGAATTTAGGCTATTTTTGGATAAATGTCTTGATCGTGTCTTAGTATATAAGACATCGCCAGGCAAAGTCCATGTTCAAAGAATATTATATACTTGCCAGCACTTTCATAAAAATGAGAGATTTTCAGTTATTATAATAATCTAAAGTATTTATTGTATGACCAACACGCTTCAAAATTTAATATGGTCTTTTTAAGTTCTGAGAAAACTCTATTAATTCAATAGAAGCTAATACTTTAATCAATTCAGTGTTGTCCAACATCCATATTGCAGAACTGAACCCAACCTTTGTAGTAAAAGTGTTAGCTGTAATTTAAGATAAAGAGGCAATTCAAATAATCTCTCTTTCCTTTAACACAACTTTCTTTGAAAAAAATGATTGAAGTGGAGATTAATTAGGTAAGCCCCCCCCCCTCCCATAACTCCCCCTTTACGGTTTCATACAGAAATGGGATAGAAATGTAATGCCTATAAACAAATAGAATAGACATAATGTATTCCATGGACAAAGAGAACATTTACTTTTGTTTTAAATATCATTTGGAAAATGATTTTAAGTTTAAAACATAGATATATACACACTGGCAATGGGGGGGGGGAGAATGGAAAGGAAAAAAGTCAACAACATATTCCAAATATACCCAATCCTTTTTATCTTAAATAAATATGGTAATGAATACAATAGAGCATAAAATGTTTTTTTTAAAAAAATTAAAAAGAAATGGAGGGAGTCAAACATCATACAGATCAGGGATATCTTATTTTATTAGATGAAAAGTAAAGAAGTATGGTTTACAATTAATGCTTCACAAAAAAAGGCCATTCGTTTAAAAGAGGGGAACAGAAGTTTTCTCTCACATTCCTGCAACATTTGCTCCAAAATGCACATGAACTTTCAGAATAGATTTGGGGATGCGTGGAAGAGCTTCGAGAAAAAATAAAGGAGAAGGAAGTTCCATTCAGAAAACAGAAGTCTTGTGAAAGGCTGTGAACTTAAATTTTCCAAGGAAGGAATGTTGAAAACATTAAAAAACTGCTATCAAACCAAGAGAATGAGAAAGATAAAACAGGGTTTCTAGCACACCAGAGGTAGGAAAAGTGCCAAGTTTATAATGCCAAGACACTATAAGCCTTAACCACCAAAAAGCCAAATTATTTGAAGGGGTTTTAGACATGGCATAAGGGTTCTTCAATAGATGTGTAATGATGAATTTCTGAGATACTTCAGTCAAATTCTTGTCAATTCAAGAATATATGAGCACCAAGTCTACATTTTATAACAGAACTAGTGATATGAAAGTCACCTGTTCCATCAATTACTGAAGTGTCTTTATAGTAGCATTCATGCTGTTAACAGAGAAGTTAGCTACATAAATTATGAATCAATTCCACCGTGATATGGGCTGTTTTGTAGGGCTGTGCAATCCATTTGGAGGTGCACTGATCAAAGCTGCACTGAAGCCTGTTCTCTATGCTCTGAATGTGTGTATCCCCAAAGGGCACTTCATTTGCAATTGCCACTGAAGTAAAGCTGTACCAAACTGAAAAATAGCTGCCATCAGGAAATAAGTATTCAGGGTGGGGAATTCTGCACTATCTGTATAAAAATGATTTTTTCACAATTTCTGTTCTCCCAGAATGCAGCTGTTGAAGGCTCTTCTAAAAGAGCCATTAAGATCAAGCAATCAGCATAGACAAAGGCAGATAGCTTTCTATCAAAAGTGCAATTGCTTTGATCCAATGAATTCTTTCTTCAAGGTCAAAACATTGTTGATTTAAAAAAAAATCAGTACAAGTGAGGCTAAGACACAGTCCTGTTTGTGGTGATAGCATCTGTTAATGTCCCACTGAAGAAAATCTAGCTGCATTTAGGATCTCATTATTAAAGCCAGTAGTTGTGCTCAGTTTAGCAGCATACACAGACATTACTTACAAACTTTTGATGATGCAAACAAATGTGTCCACAAACTCCAATCTAGAAGGTACTGGAAGTTGAAAGGAGGTTATTTTACAGGATGCCACGCAGGCATGTTTGCTTGGGCTTGCAAACAAAATGGACCTATAAACCATGTAACCTGTTCATAAAGTTGAGCACTGTCCGCACACTAAATTGGGTAGACTCAATTTATAAGTATTGGCCAATGTAAGCATTCCTGCAGTCCTCAGAACGTGCAGTGTAGTTCTCCTGCACTGTAGCAACATATTGGCCTGTATGGTTTTAAGCATCAGGAAGAGCTACAGTAATGTAATGTAATGTAATTTATTTACTCTCCATTTTAGGCTATGAATTTGCATGGGTTTGTTCCTTAAAAAAACTTAATAAAACAGTAACAAAACAAAAAATTAATCAGGAAACATAATTCCAACAAGAGGCCCAACACAAGTTATCATAGTGAAAAATAAGCCAAAACAAACATTTTATAGTAAAATAACCTTGTTCCGTTAATGTTAATTACGGTCTCTATTTCACTATACACAAACATAAATACACAAATTTCTGATTTTTTTTTCTATTGCCAAACTAATTATACACCTATATTCAATATCCTTCATTTGCAACACTGGCATAAGCTACCCATTATCACCTGTAAAGGAATGTATACCAGTTTTTAATACACAGCAGAAACCTCTCAGCTGCTGGTACAATAATTACTGTTCT